GTGCCAAGACCCGAAATTCTGCAGCAAGCCCTGCCACTGCTCGCAGGATTGGTATGATCAGAAGTCGAAGCCTGAATGCTTCATGAGATGCCCCTGAGCCACTTGGGAGTTTCCGAAAATAGGGGACCCTTTCATTGTACCCCAAATAGTAGAATCCTTATAAGGACCCCATAAGGACCCCCTGTTTTCGGAAACCCCCACTTCGAGCTTGAGGGTTTCGGTTCAGTCCATGCACCCTGCTTGTACCGTCAGTGCCCGTGCATGCTTTTCCAGTGTTGATGCTGCTAGGCGATTGCACAAGTCCTGATGCAAAAAAGCAGAAGCACAGTTGGCTTCATCGATACACTTGCAATCTGGCCCAACCATTGTGCGGATTGGGCCTCAACACATTGGCACCCATACTGTCTCACCCGTATTTCCAGGATCGCAGATGAAGTCTGCGTTTTGTCCGCATGTCATCACTCGCACGGCGCAGCCCCTGCTTGGAGCTGCCAAGTGCGGCAATGGACGATGAGACTTCGAAGCCGCAGGAGGCTTCAGCCCTCATCTTTACAGATGTTCAAATCGAAGAGCATGACATCTCTCTTCGTCCATGTTCATGGAGGGCTCGGATGCCCGAGCTGCCAAAGTGCGCGCTCAAGCAAACATGCCAGAGTAGACCCCAAGCAGTGATGTGAAGCCTAAGCCCTACCTAAGACCCTTCGGGCTCCCAAAAGGCGCGGCAGACTGTGGAAGGAGTACGGGGCCTGGGCACGACCGCAGCGAAAACTTGGCGAGACAAAGGCGGAAACTGTAGAAACACAAGGGACTGCGGCAGGAAGTTTAGTCCTGTCACAAATGGGTGCGGTACTGTGCCGGAGCACGTTTCAATGTTGGGAAAATCGCTTCTAGGATCTTAGATGGAACGAGACCACACCAACGACTGCCAGAACTTGAGCGAGTTCGTGCGAAGGCCAACGAAGATGGAGATTTTTCGGGGGCACCGAAATGTGGGATTTTGCAATCGATTTCATCCCCGGCAGACGCGGCCGGCGCAGGACTGTGGAAAGAGCGCCATGTTGAGACGAAAATGCGAACTCTGCCGCAGCAGTTGCCGCAGAATTTCTGCGGCTCAGCAGTGAAACCACTCTGATTACAGTGAACAAAATAGTGTTACAGATACAGGAGCACACTGTTTGGGGAATTCATGTGCCGCAAAAGGGTGCCTGCATCCACCAGGCGAGACTCCGCCACTTAAGCCGTCGAGCTTCCCTTTCTGGCACCAGCTACTAAACAAGAGCACCTAGCATAGACCCTAGCGAGTAGGATCCTTGCTCTACAAGCGGTTCTAGACCCAATGAAATGCGAGGGATGCAGCCATCAGATCATTGAGTCGATAAGATATTTCCTAGGGGAAATCAGGTGAGGGTTTACTACGGTACATATCCATGATACGGGCAGTGCTTTGCGCTCTCGCATGTGCTCCAACGAAGCAAAGCCAAAGACGAAACCCACTACTCCGTTTTCATAAAATGCTGAATCCCAGCCCTAACTTGAAGTTGTAGCTCCTAGTTTGAAGGTCCTAAATAGCAAGGTGTCAAGCCCTAGACCCCAACCCCAAACCGCACCCCCTCAACCCCAAATCCAGAACCTGATCCGACAGAGAGGCGGACCCTGAAGGCATGCTCTGTACAGAAGATCAGCTCAAAGTCAAGCTGAGCAGCTTCATCAAAAAGCGCGTGTCTTGAGGCTTTCGGGCATGCATGTAATATGTGTATCTATATATATATATATATGTATATATATATATATATATGCTCACCCCCCCCCGTTGACAGACCCTTGTGATAGTGTACTCTCGTTCGGTGACTAGGCTGAGATATTGTATCTAAACACACCACACGTGACGACAATCTGTAAAGCAAATCCTTTACCGTACATATACCAAGTATACTTTTAACATGCCATGTACTGAGGACGCATGGACCAGACGCGCGACACGTGAATTATGAGTTTTGTGGTAGCATTGATATAGGATGAATATGAGTATTAATATTGGTATTAGTATCAGCATTAGTAGTAGTATTTACTGTAAGTATATATATATATGTATATATCGACAGTAGTAAGTATACATTAATGTTAGTGCTCATCGTCGATTTAGTCTTAGTGTTAGTGCCAGTGTCAATGCCAGTAATAGTACCACTGCTAGTATTAGTATCAGTCTTCATGTTGGGTTTAATATCAGTTAATAATGGCAGAGGTGCTAGTATTGGTATCAAGATTAGAGTTAGTTTCGATATGTTACTATTCTGATAGTTTCGTATATCAGCAGGTTAGTATATCAATACATTGATGTGTTCGAGAGGCAACATATTTGTATACTTGCATATTCGTAGATTTAATACTTTAGTTCAACTGATGCATGAGTAAACTAGTGGATTGCTGTATTAATATATTAGTATATTAACATACCAGTATATTCGTACATTAGTGTACTAGTATACTAGTATATGCAATATACGTGTATTGTCTAATGATTTATAATAAGTATATCACTATGTTGTCATATTAGTACACTAACCTGCCATGTCGGTATACTTGCATATTACAGTAGTCGTATACTAGTATAGTAGCATACTAGTATAATAGCATACTGGTATAGTATATTCACACATTAACAAGTAGTGTATTGTTACATTGGTATATGGGTATATGCTTGTCCTAAAACATCAGTACATGAATGCATTGATACATATCGGCAAAAATGATAATGGTATGTGTTCTGGTGTGCATTAGCATATACACGTGTCTTTTGTAATGGTATTAGTCTTCACATCAATATGAATATGACTATTGGTATTCGTAGGAGTATTAATGTTAATATTCTTATTAGGATTATCTGTAGTCGCATTAGCCTTAGTATAAGTGTTAATAATGGTATTAATACTGGCATTATCTTGAATATTCAACAAGTTATCAATGTCAGTATTAGTATTGGTGACAGCATTACTGTCAACAGCATAAGGGTATACGCAGTAGTATCCGTAGGAGTATCAATACTTATGTAAATCTTGGTGTTAGTATAAACAGTGTGATTGGTATTAGTAATAGTGCTAGTGCTAGTGCTAATATTAAAATGAGGTTATGTATTTGCATGAACGTTTGTCTTATATTAGTATTACTCCTGATTACATGAAAATACTAACAGATAAATACATGCATGAGCTAATGTATTTGTACTTTAATACAGTGGTATGTATATTTATGTACATTGGTATATGCAGGTGTGTATTAGTATTGGTATGAAAATACACTACCAATATGGGCATAATTATTGATATGCGTAGGAGTATGAACGTCAGTAGTAATCATTATTAGTATTTGTATGGTGCCTATTCGTATTGGCTTAAAAAAAGTGTAAATATTAGCGTTAATGCTGGTATCAGCTTGGGCAGTCAGCAAATGATCAATGTCAGTATTAGTATTGGTAATAGTATTCGTAGGAGTACCATCTTTTTTTAATATATATATATATATATATAAACACTGACAATCGTCTAAACAAACCTTGCCTTTGCAAGTGAGTCGTAGTGCATGGTCTGTCATCCGATGGGTCACAATCAGCCCAAAATCAATTCCAAAATTTCCGAAATTTCCAAAATTTCCAGAATTTCCGAAGTTTCCAAAATTCTCTCCCCTAACTTTCCGGATTTCCAAAATTTCCAAAACGGCCCGACCTATAGTCGACAGGATTTTTCCAAAACATAAGGACGGACTTTTTGGAAATTTCGGAAATTTTGGAATTGAGTTTTTGAAATCTGAGTGCCCCCTCCCCCCGATCACAGACCATGCACTACGACTGAGTTGAAAGGGCATGGTCTGTCAACGGGGGGGGGGTGACCATATATATATATATATATATATATATGTGTGTGTGTGTGTGTGTGTGTGTGTGTGCGTGTGTCTATAGAAATACAGGTATATACAATTATGTGTATTATAGCACAAACTTGTAGGTCTTAATTCAACACGATAAGATTACTAGCTATTCAGACCATGAGGCTTTAGGGTGTTAGCGGCTTAGCATTTAGAGGTTTAGGCTCAGGTGGGCCTGGGTGTCGTTGTCAGGGGGGGGTTGTCGGGTCAGGGAGGTTATATCGGGGCCCATTTAACCTCAAGAGTTGCCAAGGTTGTTCCTCCGGGCTCCTTATCAAAACTAGATCGTTTTGGACGCCAAAGCCCTACTCCAAGTATTCAGGCTCTAGTCCTTTGTTTGCTTTGCAGCCGATCAGGAGGAGTGCGCAAAATACTTCGCGACTATACTCCACAGTGCAGTGCTCAGTCGGCTGAGTCTGCATAGGGCGCATCGGACTGCTGCGCCAGGGTAGGTTTGCAGGCCTCAGTGTTGCGGGCCGCGCGGAGAGATGAAGGGTCGGAGGAAGCAGCGCTTCGAGGGGCAGAGTCTTGACAGATTGGTTCTAGACGTGCTTCTCGTTGTCGTTGTCTGACCCGTCTGAACAATGTTAGCTAGTTAGTTGTGAAGAACGGTCTTTGGAAATCTTTTGAATGAGAGGCTGTGTCAAACTACAGAGTATTACAGGGCTTCAGTTCGGATTGCTTCCACATCAACGGTCATACTCCAGATTTGATTGTACAGAAGTTTGCCTCTGGCGGTGGGATGTCCACCCCCCAACATGTGAATGCGGCATAGTTTTGCCGACACAACGCACGATCCTTCCGGCGGGCTTTAAGTCTGTAATCGGGGATCAGCTTTAACTGAATGTTTCAGCCATGAGGCATCAGCAGAAATCCCTGCTAGCCGTGAAGAGACCTGTGAGTGTTTGAGCTGATCACTGCCACATCCTTCCCGTAGTGTCCATACGTCGTGGCCGTATAAGCCCCTAAACATAGCACCCCGAAAACACTGCACCCCTAAACCCCTAAGTCCTAAACCCAATGTAGCAAACTGAGACCATGAAGCCGGGCCTTCTTAGTGCGCGTGTGCGAGTCGAAACCCAATGGAGCTTGCTTCATGGAGGGAGTCCGAGGAGGAGTGCCTTGAGGTCACTACGCAATCTTCGGCGCCTTTAGCTGAAACGATCGCCACGGGGACCTCGATGCCAGCGCGGCTGATGGCCGTCCATCAGCTCTTGGAAAAGTTCCTTAGTTGGGTAAGATTTTACATTTTTCTGAATACTTAAACCCAATAAGGAATAACAGTGTACAGTTAATCCTATCCCAACCATGAACTAGGTTCTTACAAGAGCCGAGCTCGTGCACAGAGCTTTGCGAGAAGCAGAAGCTGGTGGTGCCGCTCTTGGACTTGGCTGTCGAGGCCGAGCGCTTGCCCCACCTTCCGGTGAAGCTGCTCTGGTGCTTCGCTTCCGTGGAAGAAGGCTAGATAGGGCTTTGGGACATTTTATATTTTCCCTTGTTGGGCTTTTGAGGATCTTATTTACTAATATTTTTCAAAGGCTCTAAAAGCCCCACCTAGAAGGACATGGAGCCACTGGAGCTCTGGAGGATTGCATTCCAACGATCCTGGGCATTTTGAGGGGAACGGAGGAGCCCTTGCTTACCGGATCCTCCTTGCAGCTGCTGGTCGAATTAGGGCGATTGAAGTCTGAAGCTCTCCGGAGTCAGTTTTGCAACTCCAGGGCCGGGATAGGTCAGCTCCTCTTGCGCTGCCTCTTCCGATGGGCTTGCCAGGCTTCTCATCTGGAAATTACGATCTCCTTGCTCAGGCTCTTCAAGCTCGCTGCTTGCATCCCCTGTCATCGCAACATGCTCAAAGCAGAGGTCGCGGCTGCTCCCGGCGTGGCTTGGACTCTGCCCCGGGTCCTGGAAGAAGTTGCCGTCGGAGCTGCGAGGAGGGCCCAGGAAGAGTCGGATGAACGCAGTGGTTGGGAATGGGTCCACGAAGAATCGAGCCACCTGGCCCGGGAGTGGAAGAGCATCGCACAATGTCTGCAGCTGGCTCCAGCTGGTGGCGAGCCGGGAAAATCCTGATTCGTGCAAAGCCACGAAGTCGAGACAAAGTAGCCGACTGTTCACTGGAGCTTGGCACCTTTCGTGCCCAATATGCATCTTGAAGAAAAGGTGGGAACTTGGCTGCAGGGTGTTATGCTAAAACTACAGAGAAACTGTCGGGGCATCTACGTTCCTGCTTATTCCGGATCGTGATGGCTGCCAATTCTCCTGTAGTGGCAATGGCTCTGAGATCTCAGAACATAATCTAGGGGCTTAAATAATTACCAATACTATTGTGGGAGTTCCTTATCATAACTTCAGTGTAGCGGGCCCCAAAACCCTATTCTGACTATTAAGGCCCCTACATTGATCTCGGTTTCGCAAGCTCCTTGATCCCAGGATCCACCAGCCCTAGCTCCTCGAATCTGACCAAACATAGGGGCCTTAACAATTAGAATAAGTGTATTATACTACAATTATAATAAGACCCCCCCAAAAAAAACTGGTATTGGTAGTTATTTCGGCCCCTACAGTACAATCGCCTCTTTGTCCCATGGCCCTAAACCCTAAACCCTAAAAAAAAACAAACCCTAAGGTGTGAGCTGGCAGTCGCCCTCCGGCAGCGCTCTCGGCTTCTGCCTCTAAATCATTGAGCCTGAGCCGAAACATACGCGATGTGAGGATATGCTTTGGGTACTGCCCCCACTCAGTAACAGTTGGAATGGTATTCATAATCTAGATATAATAGGACCTTCATTGTAGCCCTATGATAGACTGTTACTGTATGGGGGCAGTACCCAAGATATGCCGGCTTTGAGGCTAGGGTCATGCTGGGCAAGGGTGTGCAGTCGCAGGATGCTACTGCTGGGTTTCTGACATCCCGTGCACTGTTGACGACTTCTGCACACTTCCTCGAGGCAGTCCCCCCAAAACTGCGTGGCTGGCGCGGACCTCACTCCGGCTGAAGGTTCTTTTGCTGATGCGCCGAAGGGCGAGCCGAATACGGAATACTGTAGACCCCCACTTTGTCTGCATCGCAAGATTTTTCCCTTTCTGCTATTTTGTGGCCTATGCCCGACAGTCTGCATGCATACATACTTACAGAAGTACGTACATACGCACATACATAGCCACAAAATTACATACGTACATACATACATACATACACACATACACGCACGTACGTTATTGTGTACATATACATATAATATAACTATATATACATATATATATATATATATATATATGTATATATATGTATATATGTACATATACATACACATACCTTTCTGTGTGTCTATACACACGCTTGTGTCCAGATGCAGCTTTTGCATATGATACTTTGCACAAGCCGGTCAAGCAGAGGGTTCCGACTCAGATGTCTTGCTTCGGATGATCCCAGCCTTGGGACAGCTGAGTGCGATACCATACTGTACCACATTTTCTTACACAAGCTAGTGTAGTATACAATGGTATGTACGATAACACAGCACATTGAAATATGATAGGAATGAGATATAATGTGCTACAATAAAATCCCATGCAATATGATATGGCATAGTATTACGATGTGACATAAAGTATCACTCTATTGTCTAATGCTAGATCATATTACACAGTCGTTCATACAACATTCTGTTTGAATTAAGTATATATGTAGTATGTTATGCTTTTCTGTACTATACTTTACTATACTCGACTCCAGTATACTATACTCCTACTCTTATGGTGTATTGTATTATATTGTATTTCGTTAATTAGGTTCTAGGTTATCATATCATGTTATACCACACTAGATTATGTGACGATTAATGGGTCGGTCGTGGCCTCGACTGCCTTGGATCTAGTACCGAGGCGAAGAAAGGCACGAGTCGTCCCTATCGTCAGTCGGGGGTGGAGGCCGCGGAGCCACGACTTGGGAGGAGACTCCCCCGTGTGGGGGTTTCCGAAACTTCGGGGTGGCTTATCTTCGGGTCCTTACGATAAGGATCCTACAATTTAGGGTACTATATTAGGCTCGAAGATGCCAGGCAAGGAGCAATTCCAGGGCAATGTGCGCCGCAGCCCCTGCTCAAAAAAAGGTGTTATTATAGTAGGGTCCTCCATTTTCGGAAACTCCTATGTCACGAACGCCTGACAAGATGCTAGCTGTCAAGCTTCAGTCCCAAATTACGAGGCAGGCACATGAAGACCAACAATATATCCCCATGATACTATAACTATAACAAGCAACCCCCCAAAACAGTATACTATAACTATAATAAGCAACCCCCCAAAACAGTATACTATAGCCATAATAAGGAAACCCCCAAAACAGCATACTTTATCTATAGTAAGCAACCCCCCCCCAAAAAAAGGATAGGTAGTTATTTAGCAGCCTTGGGCCCCAACCTGAAAGTCGCATCTCCAGAGGCCCCAGCATCCCCTACTTAAAGGATCATGGGACTTAATAACTAGGGTTTTAATTAGGGTAACTATACTTATAACCCCAATTAAGGTACTTATAACCTTACTTACTAAGTCCCATGATCCTCCAAGTAAGTGCTTCCAGGATCTCCGAGAGGCTAGAGGTGACGCCTTGCAGCAAGACGCCTAAACTTTTTTCATCGTGATACGATGATTCTATGATTGGCATTGTCATTGTTATGATGATCGCCCCTATTCTTCGTATTGTTGTTGCTGCCGGAAATCTGAGTGATGGTATCCGGTATCCTCTTGTCGTGCCTACAGCAGGAGTGTCTGTTAAGAGCTCCGGTAGTGTGATACAGTAGGTCCTTAGCTTCCAGGCCACGAATCTGAGCCGCCCGAGACAATCCGGTGCAGGTCGCACTGCATACCTCAGAATCTGCCCCAACCTGTAATGGTGACTATAAGGATTATATTGGGGCCCTTTTTTGTTCCTATTATACCACTATTACAGGGTGGGGGCCCCCTCTAATGCATACCACACAACTAGTCCATTGGGTGACTAGGCGTTCGACTTTCGGCACTGTGAGTGCTTCTTCACAAGGGAGGACCCGACATGTCGTCCCACTGCGGGCGAAGGCATACGATGGTCGCAGGGAGAACGAGACAGAGTGAGCCAGGCAACCCAAAGCCCTACAGCAAGAGACAGGCAGAGAGGCGGAGAGGGAGACAGAGAGAACAACAACGGATATGAGGTTTGCAAATCCCATAGGAGCTTTGCGCGCGTTGGTTGTTGGTTGGTACGGCCAGGTAGCGCCTGTGGAATTTCCCCCATGGCTGCTTGAGCTGATGGGATCCTCTGATGCACCTGCTGAAAACCCATGGGTTTGGGATTCATGGGTTCGGGGTGGGAGGATCTAGACAGTCGATCTCTTTCAGGGGTCACTCCTTTCTCTAGAGGAGAGGGAGGATTTCGCTTCTAGACCCCTCAAGCGATGCTGAGCAACACCCAAGGTCTCCAGAGATCCCAAACACTCCACACCGCCGAAGCCCTAAAGCCCGAGATCCCTTTACAAAGAGCTTTGATATTGACTAGGTGTTTTGCCCCCTAATAGCCCCAACCAAAATACATACACACATTTCCCTTTATAGCCCCAACCAAAACACATACATATATATATATATATATATATATATATATATATACACATATACATACATACATATATACATATATATATATATATGTATATATATGCAGTTATATATATATATATATATGCATATATGCATAAAATATATACAACATATGCATATATATATATATATATATATATATATATATATATACATAGATACACACACACATACGCAGACACACACACACACACACACACACACACACACACACACACACTATATATATATATATATATATATATATATATATATAATCGATCCTGAAGCCCATCCTTCTCATGAAAGCCTTTCTCTCCAAAGCAAGTGCTAAGGAAGCCTCATGCCGCCGGGAATCCCAGAGACTTCCTCGGCTTGACGACAGCAGCAACCCTGCGTCTCCCTTGGCCCGTGTTCATGAAACCGACCTTTTAAGCTCGACGGGGATGGATGAGGAGTTTCCGAAAATTCGGGGGTACCTTATTTGGAGGTTCTTATAGTAAGGATCCTGCTATTTAGGATACTATATTTAGTAACTTCAGGGTTTCGGGCGTGAGGATCACTACACTCAAACCAGGGCACCCCACAGAAGAACCAGCATCGCAATATCGAGCGAACAAAATCATGCACCCGGCGGCGTGGAATCTATGGCTGGGGCCCCTGCATATACACCGGAACTTCAATTCAGGGTATTTCATGCTTACAAGGCGCAACGAGACCTCCAGAGAGAGCGAGGGAGCCGACTCTTAGAAGCCTGAGCTGAAGCCTGAACTCGAGCTCCGCTAGTAATTTGCTGTAGGTTTTTTGTCCTCATACAAACACCCCGTAAGCTTCTTTCACAACGACGGAAACAGTTGAACTCTGAACCCAACATCAGCCCAAAACGTCTCGTTCCATCTCCCTTAACCCTTTCCGTTTCCTTAAGCCGTAGACAGCTGTACAAGAGACTGTTCTGATACCGGATGCCACGAAGGACTTGCGGCATTGAGAGCCAGAACTGGCTCGAGTCTGATGGGTCCAGCTTGGGAGTTTTAGTGTTGAGTTTTCGGTTCCTAGTGCTTTTGGGTTTAGGGTTTAGGGGAGTTTATGGTTCCCGCTGCTTTTTGGGTTCAGGGTTTGGGGGAGTTTACGGTTCCTAGTGCTTTTGGGTTTAGAGTTTTCGGTTCCTGGGGCTTCGGGTTTAGGTCTCTGTTGAGGGTCAGGCTTCGGAAGGTGGATTCCGTGCCCGAAATTGGGGATCCCATTCCTTATGGGGGGCTGCACAATGAAGAAGCTTCCTCGAAGTTGAGCGATTAACCGTATTCAGGGTTGAAGGTTTATGGGCATTTGTAAATTGTAACACTTTTCTCAGGGGTTCCGAGCATCTTGCACAAAGTTTCAGGGATTGAATGGCCCATGGCCGGGTGAGTTGAGACTGTGGGCCTGGAGTGCTGAAGGATCTGCATCCCTCCGAAGTG